CTGAATTACTTCAAATTTAAATGGGTTTTCTTTTTCGATTTAAAGGTATTTTAAGTATTTTTTTAAATTATTTTACTAAATCAAATGTTTAGTATTTAATAATGCAATGTAATTTTTAATGTTCGTTTTAATCTTATCTTAATTTCAGTGTTGTGCATATCCTTTTTTATGTAAACTTTTTTTGTGCCTCATTAAATTACTTTGCATACTTTGTATTCTATTTTTATAAGGCAAGATATATATGGTTATATGACATGATATTAGCAGTCAAGATACTCCTTGATCATTCTGAAACAATGTATATTACGTGACCTGAAACAGTCTATATTCACAAAGGGTAGATTTACTTCTCAATGATTTCATGAATATCTCATACGGCACATTTTGTTAGATGCTAAAATCAAATAACCTACTACCAAATGTGGTTTTCTTCACAAAGCCGATGCTCGTGTAATTGTGAGTTTCCTAAAGGGGGGTACGGAATTCTGTTCATGGCTGACGCTGTGCGTCTTAAATTGCGGTGGCGGGTCTTTCCTTTCATTCGCCTCTATTTCTACCGATCCTGTTTCTACCGATCCTGTTAATACTCCTACTTTGGAGTCCTTAGGATAGGTCGGCTTTACCCACCAGAACTAGAACTAGAACCTGCTGAAAAATGACACTGCCTAAACTTAACAGAGCATGACAGATGTTTGCACCTCTCAAACGCAAGGGAGGGTTTTATCCTTAACACTGAGACCAGGCCTGTCCATACAACCAAGTTTTCTTTGACAAAAACATGTTACATGCCTAAATATGGTCATAATATCAAATGTTCGATTGAGCGTCATTTTGATGATAATTCTATTTTACCTATCCTCGACAGCACCTGATCTAAAGCTCCTTTTCCACTTTCATTAAACACAACATATTTATTAAGTGAGTGGTTTTTATCAGTATTGATTATTTCCATTTTTTGCTTACCGCTTCTTTAGCAATTATAACGATTTAACTTTAATGCCAACTAGGTTTTTACTAGCGATTTTAACTATTTTCCTTTAATTTAGTCATATTTTCATTCGTCAGCCCTGTAATCCATACCATGCAACAAAAATATAAAACAGAATGTATAACAGATTGATAAAATGAAAATATAATATTCTTTTTATTCGTCTGATAAAATATAGCCTTTGATTGCACTTAAAGTAGACACATTTGGTATTACGCTTCCAATTAATTTTGTATAGTTAAATTTTCGTGAACGGCCTTGTTCTTTCTGAAATCTATTGTATACCAAGGCTCCTTTTAGGACTTGGGGAATGCACTTGCCCTAATCAAAAGATTTAACCCAGAACCCTGTAAGTTTGATGACAAAGCACCTTGGAATCGAGTTACCTATTTACCCTGTCTATACACTTAGAATAATAAGACGTTAAGGTACTTATTGCGATTCAATTACTCTCTGTACTATAATCAAATGCTTTCAAAAAGCAAAAGGAAGCACTGTTACGTCAAAGTCTGTGTTTACATTACAGTACAGTAGATTAATTTTGGTCAACCTATAAACAATGAACATGTCATCACATTGACCGAAAAAAAAATCCAGGGCAAAGAACCTGCGTATTAACAATATTCGTGAAATCACCCAAGATGCATGGCAAGTTTAACTGAGTAAACAGTGTAAAGAAAGAATAAGGATGTTTTTTCCTGACCGTGTCTTCCATTTCACGTGATCTAATTGCCATTAGACTTACCACGTATGCGCAGTAATATCTTTAAAATGCTAACAGCAGCATACATGCTTATGCCAATTAGGTAGAGCATGGAGGAAAGAAAGGGGTAGAGTTAGTCTCTTTGTCCTGGCCAAAATTAATTCAATGCAAACACAGCTTCATTCAGAAAAAATAAAAGCACTTCATGAAACATAACTGTCTTTTAGGGATTTGAGTCAGTGGCGGGGCGGGGGGGGGGGAGCCGGCCTAAAGCCCCTAAATTTTTCAAAAATATAAACAAAATGGGGAAAAAATAGTTATATTCAAATTAAAGTATGAGGTTGTCATTTCCGGCCATATCATAACTTATATCTCGGCCCCAACCATTGGTGGGGTTGAGGTGGTTTAAACTCTCCATCTATGAAAGCCCCTCACTGACATGCCCCCTCTATTTCAAATTCCTCAATCTGCCACTGTGAATACAAGAACATCTAACAGCTGTTCAGTTGCCCTGCTGAGCTATCAGATCAGACGTTATACTATTATGAATCATTTTATTTTTTTCTAGGTATTAGGCATATATATAATGGAATAAACACCCGAATCCTCCATCAGAAATAAATATAAAAAGTAAACTTTTCCAATTTAAGTTTTCGATAATTTGTAGGACTTGAGAAAATATTGTGCGAATGCTTACAAGTATTTCTGTAACTTATTTTTTTTATAAACGGTAATATATAATGTAAAATAACAATTAATGCTGATTAAATCTTATAATTTAGACTGCTGCTTCATTTCTAGCTTTGGTTAAAAAATATTTTTTTGGTTTCAAATTTTATAAAACTAGGTTATTAAAGCTGTATCTTAGTTTGTATAAACTGTAACTTAATTTTCTAAATAAATGGTAATATCTAATGTAAAATAACAATTAATGCTGAATAAATCTTACAATTTCTGCTTCTTTTCGGGCAAATTTTAGCTTTGGTTAAAAAAATATTTTTTTGTTTCGAATTACATAACACTCCATTATATAGCGAATTGAGGTTAAGTAACAATCCTGTGTATTTACAAGTTCTGTAAAATAATCCTAAAAAATTTATTAAAATGTAAACATCCCTTATAGTGACCAATACAGAGCCACAAATGCCTTAACAATAGTGTCAGCAGCCCTGTAACAGGCAATAATATTAATTTTATAAAAATGAATCCATATAATTATTTAATATAATGTGATGTTTTAGAATTCTAATAAATTTTGGCAAAATAAAGGTTTTAAAGCTAAAAACTATACAGTAATTCACGAGTTTTGTGATGCAACTTGCATACAAACATTTTATATTAAAAGTATCATAAATAATGGCATTCTGATAATATTTAGTTAATTGTTGATTGTATGAATTGGATTAGTACAATAACGTTCAATGATAATCAGGGATTTGTTTAAGACTACTGTTAGTTAAAAATTCAGTGTGCCCATTAACATAAGAATCATTCACAGTTAAATCACAATTAAAACACTATACCAACTTTGCATTCTACTAATAACATCAATATCACCCAAATTTTCGCATCAAATGAAATTAAAAACAATATAAAAATCAAACAGTAACATACTGTACAGAGAAAAACATATTGCAATATTAAGGGAGGTCCAACCTTATAAATACATTTATGTCAAAAGATTAACATTTTTAGCCAATTCGCATTCTTATCTGTATCATGCTGTATTGGTGTTTTACAGTGGCAGATCCAGGAAATTGAAATAGAAATAGAAGGGCCCAAGTACACAGATAGGGGGGGTCAATTCTACTTTTTTTTCTCCATTTTAAAAATATTTTGTTTAAAAAATTTAGGGGGCCCAGTTCAGCTGGATCCCCCTTGAATCCGCCACTGTTTTATAAGAATCATTAATCATATTCATAATTTGTTTCAAAAAAAGTAAATCTATCACCATGACAATAACCTTAATACTATAATGCTTGCTGTAAAATGGAAGAAATCTGAATTCAAAGATTTGGCAAGATCATCTGCAGTGTGCGAAAAAATAACTTTTTATAGGCGTGAAATGTATTCGTATTCGTTGCTCTTTTTGTGATGCAATAATACTTGTTGTTATAGGATTTGCTGACTACAAGCCTTAAAGCCCCATTCCCGGCAAAATTTCAGTTGTTAAGAAAAATCTAATTTTTGTATAATGTTATAAAGATTTATAAATATAATACGGAATTGCTAGTTTAACTGAATTTAGACATTCCTAAGAATGAAAAAAAATGTAAAAAAAGACTGAAATTTGATTTTTTGTGTTCCATACAAAAAATAAATGCGGATGAATTTTTCATGTTTTATTTTGCGATAGGTCGTGGGAAGAAATATCATAGGCGCCAAAAACATTAACCTATCCAACGCTGCTAGGCTAGGCCTAGCCTTACCTCTATTTAGGTACTGTTATCACACATAAAAACGGCCGACATGATATTT